AGATTTTGTAATATGTGATTAGAGCTATATACAAGTATTTCATTTTGGGGAGTACTAGAGTAAGTTCTACTGTGTTTTGAACTTGAATTTGACTTGTGTGTTGCTGGCATATAGGAAAGTCATTGATATCTGCACATTATCCTTTTGTACTTCAGCTACACACTAATCATTTATTAGTTCCAGAGTTTTATATATATATATATATATATATATATATATTGGAATTTTTGCATAGATGATGTCAACTGCAAAGAAGGACAGTTTTATTTCTTCTAAGTAGTATACACTTCTTTTTCTTACTGTATTAACTGGGACTTGAGTACAATGTTSAAAAGCAGTGAGAGGGAACATCCCTCCCTTGTTCCTGATTGCTATTGTTTAGATATGGGGTGTCCTATCCAATCTCCTGTGTGAGACAATGCAAGAATGTTGGGAAGTGTAATGATTAGCTCATGAGAGTCTTAATCTAATGAGTGGATTAACCCACTGTGTAATACTTGTAGGCAGCCAGCATGTGACAGGAGGAAATAGGTTTGGTTACAGTGACACAAAAGCTGACTAAAACGGATCTTAACAGGAAAGCTTCTAGACTCTCACTATTACAGGTTTCAGTTTTTGGGTGCTTTTAAAATACTCTTTTTTTTTTAACTTTAGGAACCTTTCTTCTATACATATTCCATAAAAAGTCCTTATAATGAAGGGGTGTAGAATTTTATTAAATACTTCTTCTGAAAATATTGATGTAATCCTATGATTTTTCTTTATCCTATGGTATGATGGAGTATGTTAATTGATTTTTGAATGTTGAACCATGTATTCATATCTGGAATCATTTTAGTTGGTTGTGATGAATGAGTCTTTTTCCACTTTGTGGATTTGGTTTGCTAATTGTTGAGAATTTTTGCTAAACTCACAGTATGTCCTCTTTAATCTCATTTGAGAAAAGCTTTAAATGAGCTTAAGTAAGATCTGTGATATCTTGCAGTGTTTGCTTCTTGTTTATGCCTTCAACTTCCCATTGTTCTATCCTCTCCCTGTCTCCCTCCCCTTCAGCTTCAAGGACAGTACAGCATCTTGAAATGGCCCAGCTGTCTTCCAAATTGCATTTTTCCACATGTGACAGTGTGCCCAGAGGGGCAACTGACTTCTCATCCTTGTACTTTAGTTTAAATATAATCTTTAAAAATGCCTTATCTAATCATCTTCTTCAAAAAGTGTCTCACTCTTATAATTTTCTGTCACCTGTTGTTGTCCAGAGAATTTAGCTTCTATTTTTAGTTGTTCTCATTAATATTTTATGACTCTATTAGAAGAGTTGGGTAGTTTACAGCTGATGCAGTTAAAACTACATTTTCATATTTTTCTCTTATTTATTAACTATTGTATCACCAGCTAATATCATACTGTCTGAAACAAAATAGATGTGCTTTAGTTTTCAGGAAGTGAACCCATGCACACTCAAACACTGAGCCATATCCCCAGTCCTGTTTTGTTCTTTATTTAGAGACAGGGTCTCTACGAGTAGCTTAGGGCCTTGCTGTTACTGAGGCTGGCTTTGAACTTGCAATCTTCCTATTTCAGCCCCCAAGGCTGGGATGACAGGTGGGCACCACCCTGCCTGGTGCTCTTTAGTTTTGTAGAAAAAGAAAAAAATAAAGAGAATAAAAGCATAAAATAACTAGATACTACAGCTCTGTAAAACTTTTAAAATATATTTAATCTCAAACTAATAGGGAACAAAAGGAAGATTTGATAAATAGAAAATTAAAATTGCTCTGACCAACTCATATTCATTGGAACTGATATTCAATGGGGCTGATATTTTATTCTTATTTATTATTTGTCCCATAATGTTTCTGAAACATTTTTCCTGGTTATATCCTTCTGACTCTACTTATGTGTTTGCTGTACTGCATCTGACACACAGGTGGAGAGTCCCAGGGAGTGTAATTAAGCAAAGATCAGCTTGGACACATTCCAGTTGCAGGGCTCCATGATTACCAGGTGTTCATGCTATAAAATCTTTAGTGATCTTTTTTCCTGTCTGGTAAAAGCTCTCCTCTGTTACAAACAGTCATAATTTTTTAAAGAAGATAGTTTATTATTCTTAAAGAAGGATTTGAAAAAGTGCAAAAATACTCTATCCATATACCAAGCACAAATATTTGGCCTTACCAGGACAAGAGGAGAAATGTTTAAAAGCTGAATAGTATTTTTAAAGTTACCAAAAAAGAACCTAAAAAACTTTCTTTTTATTAAAAATCCTAGATGTTCTCTTTCTATTTTTAAATTGTTTGTTTGCATTTTTTGGTAATTATTTTAATATGGAAAATTTTAATTTTTATCTTTTTACCAAGAATTCCTTTGAATACCACTACGATCASTAATTATTTTCTGAAGTATTTAGAAGATTCCAGAAAAAATGGACAAACATAGTTGTGTAATTTTAAACACTTTTTCAAGAATAACACAACTTTTTCTTTTGTGTGCATATTGAATGGAAGAGGGATTACTCACTATTTCGGAGTGAGATCAAGTTTCCTCCTTCAAACTGCAGACAAGCTTCCAAAGGTAATACTTTCTAGTCGGTAGCAGAAATCAGACTTTGARATTGTGTGACTATTTCATTATTCAGGAAATTATATCACTCGAGTATGTAAGAAAATGTGAATAAAAACTTCTGCAGGTGGAAGGTGGCTGTTCAGATTGTATAAAATAGTTATGAAATATAGATTCAAAGAATTTAAAATGTAAGTCAGGGTCCATGTTTTATCTTCAACACTGTTGCTTCCATTTGGAAAAGTAGAAAGCCCAAGATGAAAAGCTGATTCCTCAGTCAGCCTGGAGATTTCTCTCCTCTAATGACATAAGCCCAGCATAGAATCTGAACCTTCATGAGCTAGTAGACACACTGATAGCTGGAAGTTCAACTCGTGTGAATAGTTTGACACAATATAGTGTTATATGAATAGTTGTTGGTTGGATAAATGAAAGGATTGAAAGTACCACACATCTTTGTACAATAATCACTATTACTTCCCATTTCTTTTTTTAAATTTTTGCTTCTGTTCTCTGAGATTAGCATCTGTCAAAGAGCAAATGGTATATGTGGCAGGGGGCCCATGCAGTTGACAGGGAATGTAAGAGAATTAAATGAGAATGATCACATTTGCATGATAATATAAATAAAAAGCCAAGGGTATTTAATAAATGTATAAAAAAGCAATGTGAATAAAGGAAGGTAGAATACTGTCAGACTTTGACTTGAAGTATAAAGACAGAAGGAAGTACCCTTCTAGACAAAACCTAGAAAGAAATAGATTTATTGTGAAAAATGCAATATTTACTTTTGTAAACATGAAAATGATATCTACTTGAAGATGACAATTAAATAGTTGTAGATATCAAGTTGAAAACAAGGCTGTGATAATGTTGAAGATATGCAATTCAGAGAGTTTTAGGTATTTATGGGTTAGGATATTGTGGAATATTCAACCAAAGACTCTAGAAGAAGGTTTCAGTGAATTGGCAAGCCGAGACTATGGTAATTCCTTGTTTGTCAAGTTCTCACATGAAACTATTATGGTTTTATTGTGTCCCCCCATATAATTTATATGTTGAGGTCCTACCTACAGTACTGMAAAAAGAAGCTCTATTTGGAAATTTGGAGGTTGTGAAAGTCATCTAATTGTAAAATGTATGAGGCTGGGTCCCAATCCCATGTAAATTATATTCTWTTGGGATAGAAAATTTAAATATAGGGGAWGTGACACAAGAATACAAGGTGGTCATCAGCAAGGCAAGGATGGAGCTGGTCTTTCCCTCATGGTCTTCAGAGGGCTCCACCAGTGCCCATACCTTTATTTTTAATGTCGAGCTGCAGGGCTCCAAGACAACACGTTTGTGTTTATAGCAGCTGTAGCTCTAGCAGATGAAGATAGCTTTTGGTACCAGGAAGAGGGTGCTGCTGCTGCTATAAATGTCTAATATATGAAGCGTTGTTTTGATTGATTAATGGATAGATGTTGAGAGATGTTTGGGAATCATGATAGAAGGAGCCCAGATGGCCTTGAAGAGATGGTGGGTAGAAATGTGAACACTGAAAGATGATGCTGGTGAGATCTCAGAAAGGAAAGAGGAGAGCGGTGGAGATGGCATCTGTCTTAAATAACAAAAATCAGTGTGAGCACATTATTCCTGGAAACCTAATGCTAAAATGCTTGGGGGTGACATTTCCACTGAACCTTAGGGCCAAAGAAAGTGGAAGGAGGGCATCATTTTCTAAGTTCTTAGCACCAGTATTGATAGAGTGATTGGTAGTCTATAGTCTTCCATTGGTCATTTGTTTTATCCACTCTTCATATGAAAATTACCTTAAGTGAGTCTTCACTTTTACACTATATGACTTCATACATAGTGCATCTTTATGTAAATTTCATGTTCATTCTCTTTTGTTACTTCACATCTTGAAACTCATCTAAAGAACAGGATAAAATAGACATTATTATTGCTGTATGTATATATGTGACTGTATGACCAATGTGATTCTGCAACCTGTACAATCAGAAAATGAGAAATTATACCCCATTTGATTCAAATGTATGAATTGTCAAGATCAATGTACTGTCATGTGTAACTAATTAAAAAAAAAAAGAGTAACTTTCTCTGAGAAACCTTCCCCCAAGTCTCAACAGGTTTAGATATTGAAGCACTTTGAATCTATAGCATGGCATCAATAAATATATTCATCAACACATTTCTCAACTTACTCTTTAAATTTTGGACCATATAGTTACATATCAAATCACTTAGGGCAGGAAAACGTGTCTTATTTCACTTGGTAATCCAGATATCTCCTGAAGGGAGTGTGATGCAAGGAGATTGTGTGTGTGTATGTGTGTGTATCAGATGAACAAAAACATAAAATACTTCTAAGGATTTTTTCATTGTTTTACAGGTAAACTGCTTTACTCTCTGAAATCAGCATCAATCAAAACTAGATGGAACACAGCAACAATGTAACTTACTTTGTCCTCTTGGGCCTCACACAAAATCCAAAGGAGCGGAAAGTACTTTTTGTTATGTTCTTGTTCTTCTACATTTTGACCATGCTGGGGAACCTGCTCATTGTCCTAACTGTAACCTTCAGTAAGRCCCTGCACTCTCCAATGTACTTCTTTCTTGCTAATTTATCATTTGTGGACATCATTTATTCATCAGTCATTTCCACCACTTTGATTTCAAACTTATTCTTAGGAAAAGGTATGGTATCCTTCAAGTGGTGTATGTCTCAGCTCTTTGCAGAACACCTTTTAGCAGGGACAGAGGTCACTCTTCTGTTGGTGATGGCCTTTGACCGCTATGTGGCCATCTGCAAGCCCTTGCATTATTTGCTTATCATAAGACCATGGGTGTGTGTGGTGCTGGTGGTAGTCTCCTGGGCTGGAGGTTTTGTGCACTCTGCATTTCAACTTGGCATTATTTATGGGCTCCCTTTCTGTGGCCCCAATGTCATTGACCACTTTA